CAGCAAATTTTCATAAAAAAGCATATTTCTGACTGTTTCTCGATACAGTACCTAGAAGCAGATTCTGGAAGCGCATATAGAACATAAGCAATCCCTTGGACCGTTTCGTATCTTTATCCACAACAATATGGACTTGCAAGACATTTCCAAATTTTCCAAAGTGCTCTTCAAGTTCCTCTTCTCTAAAGTCATTATCAGAAGTCAAAAGATAAGAATGTCACAAATCTGGTTATTGCCATTGGCGATGGTATATGAAGAAGAATGTTCAGTACTTACGTGGTAGTATATGGCAAATTACGGACAAATAGACGGCCACTCTCCAGAACTTCTTTTGGATCTTCCACAGTTGATGATGGTCCTTCAGTCTCAATCAGTTCATCAACAGGTTCTTCACCATCTCCATCTTTGTCATTTTCTTGTTGGACATCTTCTTCATCTTCATCTTCATCTTCAATATCCATTTCATCTTTGGTTTGCCTCCGAGAATCACTGTTACCATTTTCGATATCTCCTTCCTCATAACTATCCTCATTTTCTCCATCTTCACCTTCTGAATCTGACCACTCTTTCTTTACTCGACTTCTGAAATAATCCATATCAGATATAACATCATCGTGAACTGGATTTTGTGGTTTATCTGCATCTAGAGTCTCAGATGACCTATTTTCCTCTTCATCACTTTCATTTAACTTTGATTTCTGGTCACCTTTTCTCACTTCACTTTGCTTATCTCCAATCATTTTTCTTTGATCTGTTGAGGTAGCAATTAGGGTATCATTAGCCCACAACTTTGACTTACTTCGTGGCTGCATGACGTCAAGGAATTCCTGAAGCTGAGGATCGTCATTGCCATCATCCTTCTTATTCTTTTCCTTTTTCTTCTTCTCTTTTGAGTTTGCAATCTTTGAACTATTTGAGCCAGGCACTTCCTTTCCCTCCTCTGATGATTTCTCTTGTTTCTTCAATGAGTGCCTACTCCAAGGACGTGGAATATTTGGATCGCCAACTTTCCTGGCAATCTGGCAAATGTAGATGAATTTACTCTCAGAAAAAGAAAAAAATCAATCACAAAATCTTTCCAAGTGAAATGAACTTTGTCTACAATTGTAGTAACAGGTACTATAACAAATAAAATACAAATGAGGTATTAATGTCTAAGACAATCAACTGATGTCATCCTTCAAGCATTTAAGCTAAACTCTTTATTCTTCAATATTTTCGTTATCTACTAAAACTATTATTAAAAGAGCAAGGAACTTGCCATTGCCAGGAACCTATAGCAATACAAAAAAGACCATTTCCAACTCATTTGGAAAGATCATTCTTTGCTCACTTTAAACTTTCAGGAATTCACTACTATAAGAGAACTTCAAAACTTGCAAAAGGTGACTGTACTAACTTAATCATGCTTACAACCAATTTATTTTGTAAGAATAGTTTAACTTCAAACCTTGCCAAATCAAACATACTAACTTCTAAAATCATCAATCTTCAAAAACTCATCCATGTTAGCATATTTCTTCAAACACAGTTAATAAAAGTTCAGAATTGCTACCAAAAATACCAAATAGAGAAACTGACCAAGAAATGAATAGAAAGGGTAAAAAAGAATCACACCTCGCAAGTAATTCTACAAGTATCCATGAAAGACCTATGGAAAAACTTGATAGCTTCCTCTGCTTCTTGCTCCGTTCGAAATCCTAAAAACCCAAACTGCCTACTCTTCCCATCCCTGCTCAAAACATAAAAAAACATACCAAGCAAAAAAACTTCAAAAAAAAACCCCGCGAAAATTCAACAATGACATCCTCATATTGCATAAAATAATTAATATCAAAAATTAATAACCAACAAACGCAAAAAGATGTATACTTGGTACGCATGAGCTTGGCATCAGTAACTTCACCCTTTTGGGAGAAGAATTCTCTGAGACGATCTTCACCAACGTACTTCGGCAAATTCTTCACACATATTCGAGACCTTTTCCATAAATGCACAAGCAATTAGTACAACAGTTGCAACTTAACTTCCAATAGAAAAAAAAAAAAAAAAGCTAGAATTAAATGATGGAGACTTACATTGCTTTGAATTTCCTGTTAGAATCAGCTCTATGCGTATGAAAGAGAAAAAGGGTGAGAAAATGAAGTTACTGGGATTCTGAATTTTGAGGGTTTTGAGGTTTTTCTCCACAGGAGAGAAAATGTGGCCGGTGGCGGCGAAGTCCTGAGCGGCGCCGAAGCTGCGGCAGGGTGACGAAAGAAAGCACGAAAGTAAGAGTTAGTTTATCTTTTGGGTTAATTACACTAAAACCCCTTATGTTTATAGTTAATTAGTTACCCCTCAACAGCCTAAACAACTACTTTTTTTTTTTTTTCAACATGGGCAGTATCCTAATTTTGCCAGACTAATCTCCCCGCTTGTGAGCCCTAATTTAAACTTTACAAGGTTGGGATTGGTAACACCCCTAGTTGGCAACAAAGATTATAGTCTTTCTTTTTTTTTATTTCCCCTTCCTATTGGATTGCTATTGTCTTGGGTTTTTGTAGAAAAATATAGTGTAACGATTTGATATATATGAGATAAAAAAATTAAAAAATAAATTTACGAAAAATGTAAAAAATTTTAGAAAAAAAAAAACAATTCAAATAAGATTTAAATTTGGATATCGACATAGATACTGATAAGTAACTATTTTGAGATATATTATAATGACTTTTTATGTTATTTTCAGTCATTTTTGCAATGTTATAAGAAGGAAATGGATTATGTTGGCTATAATTAATTTAAAATGCTCTTAAGTGTTTAAATGAGGTTTATGTTCCTTTTTACTTGCATTTTGTCCATAATTTTTTATAGAAGTTAGAAACAGACTTCATTTGGAAAAAGGAAAGTGACAGCTTTGATATATTTTCGTATTTCGGCTATAACTTGAGTTATAATGATCAAATTGAAATAATTTTTGAACCATTTCGAAGATAATAGATAGATCTACAATTCCTATGAAAACATCGGAATGCAGTTTAAAGGTGTTTTAGATTAAAAAATCGAATTACAGTAGCCAACTTCTATGGTCGAAACTGAAATAAGGCATTGAGCAGTTAAGGGTATTTCAATTATATTGTAGCCTACACAAATCCAAATGAGGTGATTCTTAATGCATTAGAAAGCTAACTCAGAAGGGTACGAGTGTTATGTTTTGGTCAAGAGTTAATTCAATTTCTATCATCAAGAAAAGTTCAGTTGATTTTGATGCAAATTTGAAACAACATTAAAGACTGCATAGAAATTGAGAAGCAAAGCAGGGGAGCAATCCAGCCAGTTTCTCGACGGATATTTGGTTGGATTCTGATCAGAAAACTTTCCACTTGCACAATTTGTTTTCTCCTCCAATAATTTATAACTATTGATGGACATGTGACAACTATTTGCAGCTGTAAAAGTGATGTTTGAATGCTCATTTCTAGACTAAATTCACCTATAAATAGTCATGAAGTTGCAAGAATCAAGAGAACTTAGAGAAGGGGTGAAGAAACACCACAAAATGTAGTTCTTAGATAGTTTTTAGCTCTTTAGTTTAGACAGTATAGTTTTAATTAGTTCATCATTTCTTGTGTATTAACTAAATGAAAAAGAAGTTGGAGGATGAGAAAAAAGCAAGGAGAGAGCTCATGTGACAAGGGTTACTCTACCTTTCCAACTCTTTATCTTTTGAAATTGATTTTAAGTTTAGTTAATATGCAAGTTTTGGATTTTATATTTATTATGTGTTTCTAAAGTTTATACCTTAGGTTTGGTTTAACTTTTTATGATTGTATTGTGTTAATTTCTTAGCTATTTGATATTTTTATTTTGAGCAAGTTATTTAGCACTTTTGCTTCTCAAATCATGATTAGTTTGGTACCATTAATTGTGATTATCTTTTTTTTTTTGTCAGACAAATTGTGATTATCGAAAGGTGTTGTTTGTTCAATGAAAATTGGATTTAATACTAGTTCAAGAAGTGCTAAACCTAAACAGTACAATCACGAGAGTAGAGGTACATTTTTGTAGTTTTAGTGATTCATTTTATATAATTTCATAGAGGTAATTAATTTGTAACTAATTTCATAACCACGAGAGTAGGCATGGTTAGTTATAAGTATAGTTGATTCACTACGAGAGTAGGTTTCACATGCATGAGAAAATTACGCCATAACTAGCTAAGATAGTAGTACTCAATGATCCAAAAATAGCACTTGCATGAATAGTTAGGAATACTATAACCTAAGGAACTTTTATTTACTATTTTCTTGCATAAGTTTAGCATATTTTTATTTCCTTTAATTTGTTAGTCGTCTAAATAATAGAAAAATTTTAGTAGTGACGGTAATTGACAATCTTCCTTGTAGGTGCACTTGCGAAAAATCGCGTGTGGAATATTTAGGACGTTATAAATATAAAACTTGACCATAAAATGAGCTAATTGTTATATGTATACCCGCACTTATCAAATACAAATTTTAAGATATAAGTTTATGTACAACCCTATTTTGATTACTTCAAAATACGACCATTCTTCTTAAAGATGCCTAAAAAATTATGAATACTCATCCTCTTACCCATTTTTTATATGAAATTATTAGACAACATCCCTCAAAAAATTGAACCCTTTTTTTTGGGGAAGGTTTATTTCAAGAATAATTAACTCGATTTGATAATTGATGGTCAACTTCAATTTTCAGGTTTTGCAATTGGCTATTCAGTTTTCAAATTGAGCAATATAAAGGGTGTAAAACTAAGAGAACTTCTGTTCAAATTCAGAACATCACACATTAGAGTGATCAATATGTCTACATGAATCTCTTTTTTTTTTTTTTTGCCAATGTAGTTCTTTACTGGGACAAGAATACTTGTAGCTTTTACTTATTTTCAGGATTTTTTTTTTAATAAGAAAAGATGTACGTTTATTGAGGAAAAATTATTACAATGCCGAAAAAAACTAAACCATAAAAATGCATTCATGATAGAAAAATTAGGCGCTTTTGCATAATACAAGCATAATTACATCAAAAGATATTTAAAACACGTATGAAAAAAAGTAGTATCTGATTCCAATTATATCAAGTCATTTTTTCTTTTTCTCTCTTTGCTGCTGCAAATTGGCTTTTATCCTCCTAATCGTATTCAAAAGAATTTTGTCATATACTGCATCCAAAGCTCTTCCCAGAACTGACAGCTGCAAGAAATGCCAGTAGTGTAACAATGGCTTGTCTTCTGTTCTCAATTAGCCAAAAAGGGGTTTCAGTTCTTTCATCTGTGAAAACTAATATATTGCCTCAATGGATTCCTCCAGCTTCTTCTTGACAACTGGCCGCCCAACTCTTGTTGTATTAGGTCCCTTCAGAAACTCCATCGCTTGCTCTAAGGTAACATCTTCAGACTTAATGTTCTGTCCACAATATTCAGAGGATTAAGCATTATAGCAGACTGCATTGTGTATTTGGAAAAAACAAGAAAAGAGGTCAAACTTATACTACAGTTACAGTTCAAAATAAGGAAACATACCAGACAAGAAGGGTAAGCTACTTTTGGATTCATTTTTCGAGCCCATGTCTACTTCATGATTTACTACTTCACCATATCCCAATGTGTACTCTTTGTGTTCTAGATGCGACATCCATGGTACCGTTAAAAAGAAAGGAAAAGGATATGCTACAATGTGACATAAATTTGTGCATGCATCAGAATATCTGTTGAAGGGCAACATCTTCAACCAACAAGGCAATAATGTTTTTTAACTGTTTCTGTTGTCAAAATGAGTTAAAAGTTTCCAGTACTGGGCTCTGCACACCAGAAGCAGTAAATTATCCCTAGCTTGAACATCCTATGACAGCCATTATAACCATTGTAAAAATTAAACGCAATACTCTAAATCACATATAGACATAAATGGTACAGTTGCAGGCCGGTGAGAGACTTTAACTAGAAAACATACCTTGGGAACAGGAGCGAATGTCCTCCCATGTCTAATGACAAAACTTTTCTTCTTTCCAGGAAATAAAGTCACAGGCCGGCCGTCATCTGGATGTTTCCCCTAATATATCAGACAAGCAACTTAGATGAGTTGACCAGCAAATACTTAAGCACCATTTTGAGTTTTCCTTTTTTTTGTGTGTGGGGCCTGGGGTGATTTTTTTTTTTGGGGGGGGGGGGGTGTGTTGGGGAGTGGCTGGACAAAGAACAACAGTACAATCTGCTAACAGACACACCAAGGTCACTGGATAGCGCAGCAACTCAAGAGCGACTTCCAAGGTAACGCAATCCAAATCTTTTACCTGGAAAGGAAAAGGAAATCCAGTAAACCTTCCCATTCATGGTATGATGTGTAAAAGTCAGAATTTTGAAAAATAAGAACTGAATTTCTGATCCCTGTAGAAGGAAAGGACGATAGATACTCACGATCCGTAACTTTTAAATTAAGTGTTCAAATCAAAATAAACCAGTTTAAATGTTCCAAGAAAGAAAGCAACTAAAAATGCTTTTCAACTTGGGACAACCTCAATCAACAAGAAGACTTTAAGCCAATTGTTGACATCAAGTCACAGGTTTAACGGAGTAGATGTCACAGATGAATAAATGACAAAATAGTCCAAGATATGGTAAAGTGACATAGTTGCGCAACAACAAAAAGGAATAAGGAAGTATAACACTGCAGTGTTAAAATAGGCTCCATGACAGTAAAACAATGTAATATGCGACTCCCATCCATGAACCAAACAAATGCAACCCATGTTCTTAAATGGCATTGACCCCTAAAAGGAAGTATCCAAATGACCATATTGCTTACCAAAACCATAACTGTCCATATTAACAATTATCAAACATGATGTGATATTTCTTGAGCCAGATCTAAAGTCATATTCCAATTTTCTTGTAAGTCATAAGTTAAATTGACTAGACCAAGAGGCACAATCTGTGCACCGAAAATGTGCACAAAATAAAAGTTCTGGGGCCTCAATAAGTCAACCATTAGAAGACGAGACATCCACCCCCAAGCTTTCAACAAAATTTTGTAGTGAACTCACAATGAAAAGTTTGACTTTACCAGCTAAATGACCAAAAATTCTGTTAACACATATATTTTCCTTTATGTTCAAAATGGAACTATTACACTTGCACCAAATTTTTCTTGCAAAAGAGTTAAATAAACTACAAGGAAGATGTATCAGAATACCGGAGTTCATCGATGCAATTATTCAAAGATACCAAAAGTTGGCAGAATTAAGAGAAAAAAGAATTACAAGATTCTGTATAAACAAAAGTTATACATCACTCTTTCAGGCACAGAAGCAGTATTAAAAAGGTATTGGAGAACAAAACCATGTTCACATAACAGTTGAAAATGCTGGCGAACCAAAAATAGTTAAATACTGGACAGTGCTGCAGACTCTAGCGTGCAACACAAACAAGTTGGACAAATTAATATAATTCCACAAGAAACTTCATGGTATATGGTGGTAATATTCCCCTTAGAATTAAATTTCTCTGTAAATAGATGTTAAATCCTAAGTAACAAGAGTGCAGATTTTTTTTGGGGGGGGGGGGGGTGTGTTCGCGGTTGGGGAGCTCTTTATGTAACCACTAACTGTTTTACTTACATTGTTCAGGGAAGCTCGTTTAGGCAAGAAACCTTCCCTGTCTTCACCAAGCTGAACATAGTTTCCATACGGACCACTCTTCAGAAGAACCTAAACACAACCATTAATGCATGTATGTAAACAAAAATAATCTACACAACACATATATCATTTGGTAACCCAGTAAGTAGAAAATTTTAGCCAAACCTTCTCATTGGTACCAGGATTTAGGCCCAGCAACTTTGGCTCCTCCATATTTTTGTTGTTATTGTTGTCACTAGGGATCTCTTCATCGCCTTCGCGACATAATGTCTTGGCAATATACCTGCAGAACAGCTCATAATTTCAGATGTAAGCTCAATCACAAACCAATGGCTATCAACAAGCAGGGACCATTAACAGAAGTCTAATAAATATAATTTGATGACATTTGCAGCCAGACAGTTACCAGAGAATGACAAAGAACAGTCTAGTTACCTGCCCAGAATTGACTGGGAAAACAAAAATCATAAATTAGCAAAACATAAAGAAAGAAAAAAGTGTAAGAACTCCACTTAGTTGGATTAGCCTTGTGTTGTATATTGTTTTCATCTTTCGATTTCATTCAGCTCTAAGAAAATTAAAAGAATGTATGATGCAGGAAAAAAGTTGTACATCTACACAATGATTGAATAAGGAAAAGAATCTATCAGACATATAGATGAAGTAACAGCCTGATCTGTTCCTGTTTCTTTCCCCTTCCAACACTCCTCAATCAAGATAATTTATCAGGTCTGGTACTGAGACTCCAAAGAGATAAAAAATGCCATATCCCACCAACACCTATCCATCTTAAAGTTACAACTAGTAAGTATCCTCCCTCAGTTCTTCGAACAGAAAATGAATACTGATATAGTTTTCTTTTGTTTTCCTCAAGTTCAGCTGTTAACATAGTAAGGGACCAAATCTATTTACTCTGGATTACTTCCAATGAAAAGTAATCTTTTCTGGTTGTGAACAGACTATGAAAGAATACAACTGTAAGTTTCCAAATTCATTAACATTCAATTTCAGGCAATCCTTCACCAGCACTTCAAAAGTAAGCAGACAAAATTCTGAATTAAAATTGAGAGACCTTTTTCATTCGTTTAGAGATCTTCCAAAAAGGAGATTGAAAGAACTGCAGCAGTATATCACTCTCTAGATATCTTCTGGACTCTTAAGAGTGATAAAGCAATAATTGATTTGATGGTGGACTGAAGCCCAAGATCATTCAATTATCTATCAGTAAAAGTGATGGTAAGGATTTTCTAGTAATGCTAATTCACAAAAGTAGGAGCGGATGTTTTGAACTGTTTAATAACAAAGACTACTACAGGATAGTGAGATCAAAATGACTAGCTTAGATGTGAGGCGCATAGCCAGCAAGAGAGAAAAAAGATGAGGAAGAAACATTCATCAAGTCTACAAGAAGATAAAACAAAACAAAATCTACAGGAAATATAAAAATATATTAAAATATAAAGGAACATATTTGAGAGGCAAGCTTTGCTTCACTTTTTTTTAAATAAAGAAATGTATCATAATTACTTCCAAAGCGGACAAGATTCAAAGGTTAAGTCAACTGCATCATCCAAGCCACTGTGTCTAGTGTTACCCGGAATTAGTTTGCTTCATCATCATCAAGACATAGATTCCTCATTCAAAGCCTTAGCTCTATAGCAAATATCCCACCAAAACTTAATCTAGAACTAGCTTTTATAAAATGGGCAATGAACTTTGAAGAAGATTACAAGGAACTGCATTTTACTTCTCTCCACAGTTGCCCCGGTCAATGCCTTTTTCCCTATAGTATGCCACTCAACAAAGCATCTTATTTTACTTCCATAACCATTTCAACTTCAATGCATGATATGCAAGTCTTGGTATATTCGATTCCGCTCCAAAAATTTCAGATCATTGACTGATACCATTTCTTGATTATACATGACTTTTTGTCAGCACTGAGATTTTAAATTCTTAAGGCAGATTTTCAAGGAGGACTAAAGCTCATAAAACTTCACCACACCTTCCTTTGAGTCACAGGGCTCAAACATGTCGCATCTTTTCTGAAATAATATTGAATCTTTTGTGCACATGAGAGCCCAAGCTCATTCACGGCACTAATGGTGTCTCAAGACGGAACTCTAAACACATTGATGTTCTTGCATATATAGCAAAGATCCTAGAGAAAAACTAGGTTTTCAAAGCAGTAGACAATTCATCCTTAAAATTAGGCTAGAACCTAAACGGCCACTAAACTAGTCTCATTGATTAACCTTGCACAATAAACTTGTAGTTTCAATCATACATAACTCACAATTACCATTAAGATAGACAGAATCACGAACGAGTATGATATTAGATATTGTTTTTAAGGATATCTATGTCATCAAAACATGTAAAAGTAAAGCAAAAGACATATCAATGTAAAATTGCACCTTATCACCAGACAGACTGTCCCAGAACCCCAACCACCTGAGGGTGAGCCCTTTTCCACTCATTACAGCCTAAATACCTCTCTGCAACTACTCACAACAAGAGAAAGAAAACAAGAGAAATTTAAGCTCTCCTCTTCCAGGCCTGAAGAGCCCCCCACCAACCAAGCCGTATGCTGTGCTGATATATTCGATACTCTTTCCATTCAGCTTTATCTCTTTTAGAACTGGACCAAGTTAAAAAATTGTGCCAAGAAACCATCTGGTCTTGTTCTTAACTTTTGGTCACAGAATACTATATAAGCATTATCCCCTCAAGCTCTGACAGAAATACTTCCTTTTTTGTCAAATTTATCTTTGTGTGTGTATATATAGAGAGAGAGAGAGAGTCTAATAGAAGAAATCTCACTCTTCTTCTCCTATAAACTTTATGATTTTGCTTAAAATTGTTAAAAAGCATTCACAAAATGATGTGCAGGCTCATTTGGTTGGACAGTGGTTCTCTTTCAAATTGGTCTCCAAAAGTCCCATCTACACCGGTGTCGACAAGTTCAATCTATGATGTCTAAAAATTAAAAGATATGGAGAATTGAAAGAGAAGATTGAATTTTATTTGGTCAAACATATGATCAAGTGCTATGTCAATACAGGGACTTCAACCAGCAGATTGACCAGCACAGTGGTAAATTTCCATTCTTCTGGTGATCAAGTATCCAGTATATAAAATGATGTTAAATCCAGTCTTAGAAGCATACAACCTATCAAAAGTCATTTATATAAGATTAATACGTTTTTACTGCATTGCGTACCCCAGGGATGGTATTTAAAGAAAAAGAAAAGAAAGTTGGATCACTTATTCATTTCTTGACCTGATTACTACTTAATCAAAACTCTCATTCTTTCAGAGCATCCGATGCTCATATACTTGCACAGACTGTACCAAATAACCATGGACATAACACATTGATGTGTAACGAACACATCACATAGGATTGTAGTCAAACAGTGGAGACAGCACAAGACAGTGAAAGTACAGACTGAAAAAGCATCCACAAAGAATGTAGCTAGCATTAGAAAATAAATATGATAAGCAGCGTACTCACTTGCATCTTGGATGCTGATCACAACCTATAAAGTAGCCTGCCCCAAATCTGCTGACCTTGAAGATTAGATTTCCCTCCAAACAACTAGGGCATCTCCTACTTCCATCTGGGAGAGAAGCAAACAAAAAATCTGAAAATTCCTTCTCCAGCATCTTCTCCACCTGATGAATATGGACATTAATAGCATGTGTACAGTACTTGCTAAACCTTGTCCAATAATCTTTTAGAAGGCCTTTCCATTCAGTCAATCCAGCTGAAACATTATCAAGTTCAGTCTCCATGTCAGCAGTGAAACTGTAATCTGTGACCTCAGAAAAATAATGGGAAAGAAAAGCAGACACCATCCGCCCTCGAAATTCTGGATGCATAACCCTGCTATTTATTGTTACGTAATTTCTATCTTTCAACACCTTAATCGTTATTGCATAAGTCGAAGGTCTTCCAATGCCAAGCTCTTCCATCTTTTTGATCAATGCCCCCTCAGAGTAGCGTGGTGGTGGTTGTGTATAGTGTTGCTCAAGTTCTACCTTACCCAAATTCAAAGAATCCCCAGATTTCAAAGTACTCAAACCTTGAAAAGCTCACCACGATTATTTACTTCATTCTCATTCAAACTTACTGTCTTGGATTCCACATCCTCAAACACAGTTTGGTAGCCTAGAAATTCAACTCTTGAGCACGAAGATCTAAGCATAATGGATCGATCAGTATTCGCAATATCAAGTTGTACCTGATCAATAATAGCAGGTTCCATTTGGCTGGCAATGGTTCTAGACCAAATAAGTTTGTATAACTTCACAGAATCATCATCCAGGACCCCAGCAAGCACTGAAGGTAGCCTCCTGATATTAGTTGGTCTAATAGCTTCATGGGCCTCTTGAGCATTCTTCACCTTCTTAAAATATTTGCGAGCACTTTTTGATGCAAAATTTTGTCCATACCTTTCTGTTACAAACGACTGAAGGTCTTTTACAGCATCATCAGAAATGTGTGATCCATCTGTCCTCATGTAAGTGATCAATCCTACTGCTTCACCATCAGCTAACTGCACCCCCTCATACAGCTTTTGTGCAAGTTTCATAGTATATGAAGCAGAAAAATTTAATTTGTTTGCTGCTTCTTGCTGAAGTGTGGAAGTTATGTACGGGCTGGGAGCATTTCTTTGACTTTTGCTTTCCTTAGAGGCAATAACTTCAAACTTGGATGAGTTAATCTTCTGTTCAATATCCCTTGCCTCAGTGTAAGAACCAATAGATACCTTGCTTAACTTTTTGCCACTAAAGTGGGTTAAATTTGAGGAGAAGCTGAGAGTATCTGTTGAACTTGTGTCCTTCTTGTTGAACTCAACCTCAATTGTCCAGTACTCCTGTGGTTTAAATTTATCAATTTCTGTTTCCCTGTCACATATAAGAGACAAGGCAGCTGACTGAACCCGACCAGCTGACTGGCAACTAGGCAATTTCCTCCAAAGCAATGGTGAAATGTTGAACCCAATCAAGTAGTCCAATGCACGACGTGCAAGATAAGCATGTACCAAACTTACATCAATCTCTCTTGGAGCTTGAAGGGCATTTTTGATGGACGACTCTGTTATTTCATTAAAAACAACCCTTGCCACAGTGATATCATTGCGTAAGGTATCTTGTTGCTGCAACATCTCAATTATGTGCCAAGCTATAGCCTCTCCTTCACGATCAGGATCCGATGCAAGAATAAGATTTTTGGCTCTGAAAGGGAAAAAATGCACATATGAGAATGCAAGTAAAGATGGTGAACAAGCCAAACCTAAATGGTAATTTCTTGTGACCAAACTGAAACATATTATCAAATCTTGTCATAGCAAGTATAGAATTCAACTGGCAGTCAAAAACAAGTATTCAAAAGAAAGACATCATACCCACTTAGTGCAACCTTGATACTCTTAAGATGAGTCCAGGCCCGCGATGGAACCTCCCATACCATACTGAAGTTATCATCTGGTCTAACAGATCCTGACCTTGCAGCCAAGTCCCTAACATGACCGTAACTTGGTAGGACTTCAAACATGTCGCCCAGGTACCCTTGAATAACCTTTGCCTTCGTGACAGACTCCACCACCACAACTGATTTAGCAACAGGTGGATATAATTGAGGAAATTTGCCCTGCAAACTACTTTTGCCACTCATCTGTGATTTGTGGCTCTGTGATACCTCGCTGCTAGATGAATCAGCAGGTGATTCATCAGATTTTGAAAGGGCAGCAACCCCTTTATCAGTCTTTTTCTTCCTAGATGACTTAATAGGCTTAGGTTTGGAATCCTTGGTCAAGACATCATTTTCGAGTATTTCTGTAGAAGTACTTTGAGTTGTATTAATCTGCAAAACTGCGTGGTCAGAACAATTTCCAGTTAAGAAGAACCGTTATTGGCTAAATAACAAAGATTACTTACCTGAGAAGCTACAGGAGATTGGTTTTTTTTCTTAGGTTTAGGCTTCTTGGCTTGAGAAACTTTTTCAGGGTCTTTAAGATGGTTTGCCTCATCACAAGCAGCAGTATTATCAGAACCATGATTTTTGCTTTTCTTGCTCCTTGCCTGCTTCACTTTGCTAACACCATTGGAATTACGACTTCCACTGGTATCAGAAGAATGTGAAGTGTCCAACTCCACATCCTTCATCTTGTCCATGGAATGCCATCTTTTGAACTGACCGTACCAGGGGCTTTAGTATCAGATGTTTTATAACTAGAATTGCCTCTTCCAGGTCCAATATTGGAGATCGCATTCCTCCTATGAGCAGAAAATGCCTTTTTCCTTTTCCAGTACTTGTTGTATACTTTTAAGGTTGAATTGCTACCACTTCCACCACCTCGTATACCCACTGCATCATTTTTATGTGTCAAGGCTCCAGAGACCTTGGAAAAAGACCTCTTGCCAGTGACAAATGCATAGCACTGACTTTCAAAACCAACTATTGACCTATAACTTATTACATTCATCTGTATTGCACCACTTAATGATGCTACTCTCATATTGGGCTGTTGAATTGAGGCAGAGAACGGCGAAAGCCCATAAGAATGGCTTTTGAGAGCACAAGATTTTCGCTCAGACTTAATCCTTAAACTTTGGGTTGAGATCTTGTGAATGCAGAGCACACCCTAAGTTTTCGGGCTAACTGGGCAAATTGATCAGCACCTTTGAATGGTGAACCTAGTAAGCATGTCCCTGAGAAATTATGCAAAGTCCTATTCTGCAACTTTTAGCACAAAAACACAATTATGATTTTGCAGTAACTGAAGATACAAAGGAGGATAAGGAAGCTCACATTGGAATTAATCTAAAATAACTTCTTCTATGATCAAATTACTCAAAGCGTATTAATTTAAAGTCAAACTTTGAGACTGAACAATACTCATACAGGAAAGAAAAAAAAGTCAAAGAAATATTAGTCCAGGAATGGATTAGATTATTAGTAAAATTATGAAGAACATAGCCCAGGCCCAGTATCAACACATTTGCACTAATTTAAAAAAAAAAATATCAAACATAACATCGCAACCATTTCAAGTATAACATATTACTGATATTAGTCATTCGTGCTAGATAAGGTTTATGAGAGTGCTGGAACAAGAAAATCTACAAAGTTTTCACGTGTTCTATCAGCTATATATAAGCAAATCCAACTTACACAGTAATGCAACTCAATGGCATCAAAGATGACAGGCAGTAATGCTTAACATCTAGCACTTAACTCGTTCAACTACTGAAAACCTCATTCCTGCATTCTTTTTGCAGCAATCCAACAAAAATCAGTTTTCCTTCCAAAAACTTTCTTCCTTTCCATCATGTTCCTCAATTTCCCTATTAACCCTCAAGGTTCTCCAGTTATCTTTGGTCATCAATTCAATTCATTTCTAGTGAAATAAGAGAAAAATGAGGGAATAAAAAAGAAGCAAAACTCCTCTTTCTAACAAATTATATGCATCAAAGTTTAGAACTTTCATATGCACAACTTGAAAATGAGAGACACAAGCCCAAGTGATGGCTTGCAAATTCAGTCCTCCAATTGTTTGACAACGAGTTCTGAGAAAACAAATAAAATTTCTTTCTCGTTTGATCATTTCCTTCTCGCCGCATCCCTAAGTTCTGCATTCCAGACAAAGCCCACCTAGTTTAACACATATAGAAAAGTAGCACCATGAAGAACTACAAACCATAACAGCATTTCGCTTATTCAACCCGTTAAACAAACCAATTGGATAAGTCCCAAAAGGAAAAGATGAAAAATAAAAATCCTTCCTACCAGCACTTTCAACAATTTAGAATTGAACCCATTAACATTCTACCAGCAAAGTTGGAAAAGAAATAATAAAGGGCTTCAAACGAAAACAAAAATGGGGTTGGCTTTTGGTACCATAATGGAGCGGCAGCTAGAAGTAGCAGTTGAAAAGAGTAGTTGAACCAGAGCCATAAAAGAAGGCGATTTATTATTGGTCGTTAATACAAGGCAATGCCCAAGAACAGCCAATTATATTCTTGAATTCTTTATTTAGATGAAATTGATAATGAAACATCTGTTTTGTGGGAGTGTGACCGCCGGCGGGGGTGGCGGTGTGTGACTCTGTGTGAATGTTGTTCAGTTGGGAAGAGAGATGGATAAAAGAGAAGAAAGAGTTTTAGGCCTTGTGCCCCCCTTTGAGGGAAGTGATGGAAGGGTTTTAGATTTCAGAAAAGGTTGAGGGGCCACGGCGTCGTTTTTTTTTTGGCCCTTTTTGTTAAGTCAAATGAAATTATAAGAATGTAATAAAATTAGGAATTTGCACTCCATGTTTTATTATTCACACTCCCATCATTTGTTTTATCATATTATTTTAATAAATGAAAATTATATAATAAGATGATAGCGGGAGTATGGGTAATAAAAATGTGAGTACAAATAACATTTTTATAAAATTATCTCAAAGAATATATGAAGTTTTATGAGAATACAGTATAATTATTTTTAATAAGGTAAATTACTTAGAAATTAAAGCTTAACTTCATAACTTTTTTCCTTAAATTAATTAAGCGCATAATTTTGATATTATGGATATAAGGGAGTCGCCTTTTTACTATTTATATTTTTTGCTCAATAAACTTCAAGTTTACAATAAAATCTTTCATCTTTGATAGTAGATATTTCATTATAATTTGAAAATTAAGATTTTTAAAATTATATTTTTATTATCATCTTGAAAAAAAAAAGAGATTCCGTTTAGACTTTTTTTTCTTCTTGAAATTTAACATGCTAAGACGTAATCCAAAATTCTTGACTTGAGATATGAGGACTAAAATGACAGTTTGTGCCTTTTTTCTTCAACTATGGGTAACAATTTAGAAAATATTGTTTTAATATCAGAATATGGTAGCTATAGCAATTTCTTTTTTTTAAAAAAAAATATAGGAGTTATTTTTATTTAGAAAATTACCCTGAACAAGCACAAGAAATAGAATAGAAGTAGAACAAACGACAAACAGCAGAAGGAAAAATACGTAAACCACTCTTGCCCTCCTTCGCCTGCCCTCAGTCTCCGGCCGCCACCACCATCATCCTCTCTTGCTGCTGCTCTCCGATCGTCACGGTTTTACCATATCCCATCCCTCTATTTTCACTAGAAGAAGGAAATCATAGGATAAAAATGGAAGCTTTTCTGCAGATTATCTGAGGAAGCAGTTGAAGCATTTGATTCTTTACTTGGTTTTTAGTTAGTGGACTGAAGCTCCTATCCAAGAAAACCCAAACCATAGAAAAGGTAAAATTTTTCAACTGCCCATTAACGGTTTTTAGCTCTGGATTACTCACTGTTCAGTACAAGGTCAAAACATTTCAGTTCTTGTTTGGTTTATTAGATTTTTTACCGTTTGTTTTTTCCTCAAATATGCATTTCCCTGAATTTAGCTTTCCACTTTAGTGTATTCTTATATAGTGTGCATACTTAGGTTGAGTTAATGATGATTTCCCCATCCAAGTTTATATATGTCATGAATGTTTCATTTGTGGGCTGCTCCCCTAGAGAATGCTTCCAATAATGGGGAAATTTCTAAATGTTCAATCTGCGTTTGCTGAAAGGTAGGACGGAAGGATATATAAGGGAGTAAGATTGGCACATAGCTGAATTAGCCACTTAAGATGGACTCCTAGTAATAACCATTTACATTAAATTTCAGCTTGTATTAGCTACAAGGAAATGAGCTTCGGGAGCTTGAAGAGCGTACTGGCTGAAGCAGCCATCAAAGGTGTGACTGAGGCAAGAGCTAGAATATTTGGGCATATACTTAACCCAACCGGGCAGAGATCGGCTCACAAGATTTTGCGCAAGAAGCTAATTGGTGAGAAGGTTTCGCAATGGTACCCTCACGACATCAGGCACGACGACCCTCTTGTCATGGCCCAACAGGAGCAAGAGTAAGCTCTCTGTCTGACCCTCTTATCTTGTTGTCAAAGAGTTTTTCTATGGCCATATTATGCTTACAGATGTGTGTTTGCTTATTGACTGTTTTATTGTATGCTTGATTCTTACATTCATCCTTGTGTTTGTGTCTTTCCTGGTTTTTTTTCCTGTTCAAAAAGTTTGATTTGCACAATGGGATGAAAATTTTGAGAATTTGTCCTTTTTTTTTTTCCATGTGAACAAATTTTGCATGACAAGAGAGAGCAAATTTTGAAATTGTATGCGTGACATGAGAAATATTTGATTGTTGCATGGTCCCAAATCTGGGATATGTTATGGTGGTTCTTGTCAGCAAGAAGTAAAAATGGTTCATTTCCTGCTAGGGGAAGGTTGTGAGATGAGATGAATATATTCCAGATAATTGCTTTAACTTCATATATTTGTATGCTTCCTTGTCCTACTGAAATCTCAATTTTCCCTTCTTAATGAGGGAAACTCTGAATTTGAATGGCTTCTAAATTTACCTTTACTGTGTTGATATAATGAGAAAGGTTTAATAGCTGTCTTGCTGATCAAACAAACTTGTCTTCTGTTCTATACCTTTCCTTCAAGAATGCCGCTAAGAGTTGTATCTAGATCTGCTGGAGTTTTTTAAGGTTTGAAAGTGTCTGTAAGTCATGATATCACTGAAAAATGAAATGAAAATGACTCGTAAATCTGAATAATGAGGTTATGTTGAAAGATTGTCACCCATAATGTGGAGGTAAGGTTCTCTATGGAAAGATAAGATAACAATCACTGAGCATGTTGATGAGGCAAAGATGTGCTTTTGAAATTGTTCGTGCATATTACATGAGCACTACTATGATAGAATTTCATACAATTGATTCTGTTGATATGTTTTTGTAGTCTTTCATATTCGAACAATTGTTTTGAGGAGTCATCTCTCAACATACAGCAAAGCAGGTTTTGATAAACATGCTCAATGAATACAGTGAAAACTTCCAAACTTTTAACATGGTATAGATGAATTCCTGTTTTTGATAAACGATTCAGGTGGTTTTTTGGAGTAAGCTAAGAAATACAAACTTAGGACAAGAACGAGTTAACAAAGTTTGAATGAGGAGATGTACTTTTCTTTTCTTTTTTTTTTGTGCAAACCAGTGTCCGTGACCGCATTGGGCCCTGACTAATGTGGAGTCGAGCAATAATGAATGACTGTAACGGAGGATTGAACTCTGCTACATTTTGGCTCCATATGG